GGTTTTCGAGGCAGTATCACTATGGAAGTAGGATTGCCCAACCTTCCTTCCGAGGAGTGGCTGGTGGGTTTGAACCTCCAGCCTTCTGGTTAGCAGGCAAGTGCTTTAGCCACTATGCTACCAGAGCTCCTAAATTAGCCATTGAAAATGCTGTGGATCGCAATGGCACATTGTCTGATACCGTCCTGGAAGAAGAGACTCAGAGTACACAGTGACCACAACGATGAACTTGAGCAGACCAACGAACATGAAGATGGTGCATGACCAGGGCGACATTTTGTTCAGTGTGCACAGGGTCAGCATGGTCAGAGCCAACTTGGTGGCAACTAGCAAGAATGACCACCTAGCCGTGCCAAACAGTTGGTTTGCCCTCCTGTGTTCATCTGTGTTAGGAAGGAAGTTTCCCACAACAGAACGTCTTCAGGGGGTCCTTAAAGAGACAGAGGAGATTTCTAGAGTGCTCTCATGCTCCCTCTCATGAGCTCTGATTCTCTGAGGGCTTGACCCTGCTCAACCTTCTTCCCAGTTAAACAAACAAATCAACGGTCACCCTCCTGCTTCCATGCTTACCCGGCACCACGGGTAAAAGATTACTTCTAGTTGGTCGCCTTCCAGAAGTACCATGCTTGGACAACAACTTGATTTCAAACCACCCTATTTCAAAAAAATCCCAATAAATCATTGAACCCACAGTGGGGCTGGCCAGAGTGATGCAGCTGACTCTACCATGCCCACTGTGGATGAAGTTCTCGAGAAGGTTGGGGAGTTTGGCTGCTTCCAGAAGCAAGCCTTCCTGACCCTGTGCCTGCTCTCTGCTTCCTTTGCCCCCATCTACGTGGGCATCGTCTTCCTGGGCTTCACCCCAGACCACCGCTGTCGGAGCCCCGGGGTGGCCGAGCTCAGCCAGCGATGTGGCTGGAGCCGGGACGAGGAGCTGAACTACACGGTGCCCGGGGCCCTGGGTGATGCCTTTACCCAGCAGTGCCTCAGGTATGAGGTGGACTGGAACCAGAGCACCCTCAGCTGTGTGGACCCGCTGGCTGAACTGGCTACCAACCGGAGCCACCTAACGCTGGGCCCCTGCAAGCATGGCTGGGTGTATGACACACTGGGCTCCTCCATCGTGACTGAGGTGAGAACATGAGCTGTCACTTTGGGCAACTTGTGGACTTGGGGGCAGGGAACAGCAGACAGATCCTACAGGGTTTGGTTTCATGTCAGGAAAGGGGTGGGAGTTGCACTCATGGGACACTTGCCATGTGTCAGCCTCTGTGCTTCTCTTGTTCAGTGTCCCATTCAGCTCTGGGTACTGGAGGAGAAAAGCGAGGGTCAGAGACAACATAAGCCAGGCTGAGTTGGGTAAACAACCCAACCCAACAGGAGTCCACAAGGAGACCAGGGTCCCTTCTCCCTTCCCCACTAGCTCCTCCAAGAGCCCCCCAAATTCACTCTGGACCCTGATTCCCACCATTAGCGTGGACGGTGTTCCCTCCCTCTGCTCAAGTGTGGTGAACATGTGCTGTCTAAATGGTAGCGGCTGTGGTGATTGGTGATATAGAGGTCCCTGGTGGCACAAAC